TCATCTGCTGCAGCTCCTCCCTCAGGTACTGACATGTCTCCATGTGTGACTTGGAGATGTTCTGGGCCAGGTGCTCTGCAATACAAGCATCGTCACAAACCCAGAAGATCACAGTTAGGATCTGAATGTAACTCACAAGGCTCTGTAAAAGTGAAGACCTCACTGAGAAATATGCCACAGGAAAAGCAGATTTATTTACTGAGCTTTCAAGAAGGAGGAGAGGCGGATATGCGTGGGCTTTTTTGACTGGGAAAAGGCTTGTTGACATTTCCTTTTACTGCCTGCAGGAACCTCATAACTTAAGGTTGAGGCAAAGCCAATCTAGTTATGACACAAATGCATGGAGAGGAGGAGGGGCACCATGTTACTCACTGAAACAAAGGTCACATTTTCTCTCAGAGAAATATTGAGTATAAGAATTTAAATGGTTTTGAAAACACATCTGTTAAAAGGAGTTCCTAGGCACAGGGGAGCCTAAAAAAATGATTTCCCCAGACGCCTGCCCTGCTGGATCCTGATTGGCCCTAATTAATGGAAACTAATTACAAAAAAGAGGCTCTTTTAATGAGTGTTGGAGATGAGTCTCCAACCTCCTGCTATTTTAAGCAACCTTTGTGTCGTTTGCCCCACGGTTGAGTTGTTCTCCCCCCTCCTCCATTTTGCTGTCTCTCCTCTTGTCTCCCCCTGCCTCTCTCCTGCTCCTTACCTAATTCAGCCATGGACACGGTGGGGGAAGTTTCTCCGTTGGTGAAGGAGCAGTAAGGGAAGAAGCCAGAGCCGGGAGCAAAGTCGCAGATGGGCTCCGGCTTGATGCCGTTGATGTCCAGGCCTGACTGGTCAGGAGATGGCTGGATGTCCAAGTAGAAGCTGCTGACCGCCGAGTCTGGTTTGCTGCCATCGGGGGTGTGACCATCCATGTAGCCGCTGAGGTCGTCATGGAGCTCTGTGAGGCCATTGGCTGAGAGGCCATAGCTAGGTGTGAGCGGCTCCGCCTCTCCAGGCTGTTGTTGGTGGTCACGCTGCTGCTGTTGCAGCCTGTGCTTCTGGACCTCGGCGTACAGGCTGTCTCGCTGCTTCTTTGACATGCGGCCAAACTTCACCGCTGTAATTAGCAGGACAAAACATGTGTTAAACTCGTCATACATCACAAATAATAAAATTTAAATGAATCAATATGGTGTATGTTTATTTTCTATACATGGCACCTGGTGACTTCTCTCCATACAGTAAAATAAGTTTCCATAAATATGTGATAATACATGTGATAATACCTTAGTTAATGTGTAGATGTTTCAGAAATTATATATAATTTTACAATTTTCACTCAAAGCTAGGGTAGGGTTTGGAGGGAGGCCTGAAGGAAGGTGGTGGTGGTAGGTGAAGGTTTTTTTTTTTACCTATCCTAGCTTTAACATTTTACTCTCAAATAAGTAAAAAAATCTTACCAGTGGTTTAGGTTACCAACACAAATAGACTTAGTTCAATAATTTTCCTTAAATGTGTAATGTTTTTTAATTCTAATATAGCAGTCTCCCTATGAGTGATACTGATACTGATGTCTAGAAAATACCTGAAACAGTAGCTCTGGAAATGAATCAAATTATCTCGCACTAAACATCTCAAGCTAAATTGTTACTCCTTTGAAGAAAAATAAAATCTTGGCATCTGAGTGATACAAAATGACTTGTTAAGACAACAAGGGACACTGATTGAACTGAGGATTAAATCCCTACTCGCTATAAATTGTATGTGAGCTCATTTGTCAATGTGTGTTGACACAGTAACACTCCACCAATCTTATTAAAATAGTTATGTTAGTAGTAAAATCGTATGTTACTATTAGACCAAAAGACGCCTGCATGATACTCCACCAGACTGATGTACAGTACAGTACAGAACAATCATATGCTCTTTTAACAGATAACACTATTAGAAAAAAAGCAAATATCCACATTTCTGGATGGATCAGTAAAATTATAACAGAAATGAACTGCTTCATAGCAGAACAGAGGAAGAAGTGAGAAGTGACTAACAGCTTACCAGCCACTCAAACATGAGACAGGCTAAGTTGCTGCCTCCTGTTTCAAGGTTTCCAGACTAAACAGTGGTGCTGAGAATGAGACTCCTTGGCCAGAGTTCTGGGGGCCTGGCAGTATGTCAGCC